TGTGGTTCGTTTGTGGGTGATATGCCGTGGTACGTCTGTGGGCTGTCTTCATTGCCTTCACAACCAAATCAAAGACTAAAGAAGTCGACCAATACCAGAATGTATTCATTGCCCTGTGAAGACCTTGGAAGAGGCCCAACAAAATTGACCCCAGCAAACTCCCAGGGGAAAGAAGCAACCACTGGTTGTTCTTTTTGACAGTACGTACCTTTTAACATCGCCTCTCATGCCAAGCCAGTACACCCGTTTCTGGAAACGGCCATTGGTCTTTGCAATACCCCGGATGACCTGACATAGGATGGTCTTGGAAATAATTCAACAGGGTACTGCGGAGAGCGGTAGGTACATCGCAGTCGCAGGTCCTTATAAGGATGAAGACGACAGGAATATCTCCTGTCTCTAAAAAAAACAAGGCCCTCATGAAGACAAAAGTCAGTAGAATCAATGCAGGCATCATTTTCCAAAGAAGTGAGCTGATGACTGGATCAGCAGTCTGGAGGGCCTGCAACTGGTCTTTGTCTGTGAGCATCAACAGAGGTTAGTTACGGAGATTCAATGAGCCCACAGTGGCATGGCAAGGGAGTAAGCCAACTTCCTCCCCATGCGAAACTGGGTTGCGTGACAGCGCATTAGGGACAGCATTAGTTGATCCTGGTTTGTGGATGATGTCTAGGTCATAGTCCTGGAGCCGCAAGCACCATATGGCCAGGCGACCTGAAGGGCTAGGGCGAGACATCAGCCAACGTAAACTGTTGTGGTCGATTACTACAGTTACATGGGTTCCCTCTATGTAAGGACAAAACTGTTCTAAAGCCCATATCACACCAAGGCACTCCTTTTCTGATGTGGAATAAGGACGCTCAGACTTGGACAGGGTGTGGCTAGCATACGCTACTGCCCTCTCACAGCTGTTGTCATCAGTCTGGACCAATGTAGCCCCCAATCCAACATCGCAGGCATCAGTGTGAATGGCAAATGGTTTGTCAAAGTTAGGAAGCACCAGTATTGGTGCAATGCACAGTTTAGACTTGAGGTTATCCGGGGCCACCTGGCAGTTGTCGTTCCACTCATGCCAAGAACCTATTTGACGTGTTTTACAGTAGTGGGTCTCGAGAGACTTGCAGAAATGACATTTAGAAAACTTAAGCGACAACCCAGCGCCCACCAGGCGCTTGATGACTTCCCTGAGATCTGTTAGGTGCTGAGAAAAGGTGGGTGAAGCGATGACTACATCACCTAGATCAGGGGTGGGCAATTAATTTTTACCAGGGGCCACATGAGAAACTTGAATTGTGTAAGAGGGCCACCCCAACTTTCTTCCATTATAAAATGCTCTAAATTAAATATTTTGAATAGCTGGTACTGATAATCAGAAGAATAAAGCACTCTGTAAATATTTATATTAGGTTATGTGAAATTGTGGTCTATAAGTCAAATAAGGAAACAAAAACAATTATTGAATCTGTGCAATCCATTTTTAACTTGTTAATCTTCACAAACAATGGAAAACAACAAACAACAAATTTACAGAAATACAGCAATACATCTGTATTGATCTGTATTGTTGAACAAACAATAACGTTTAATGTTTTCCACCTCATGTTACCTCTTCAGTGAGAATAATCCAGTCTGTTCTGGGCTTGAACAAGGGCATTGAAACCTGGCTGAATGTCTGAAGTGGCAATGCGAAAGACAGCTGAGAGGTGGTCATCAGTCACAGAGGACTTCATAACTGAAAAAGTCTGTTCACAATGATAGGTAGATCCAATACCATGCCTCCTCAGGTGTGGAAAGTTCTCCTCTTTAAGGGAGGAGTAGAAGTCCAGCAGTGAGACTGACCTGAAGTGCTTTGCCAGAAGTATGTCAGACTGCAGGTCAAAAAGCTCCATCTGAACGTCTCTTGGTGCATCATCCACACTGCAGTTGAAGGGAGAAGAAACCATGTGCATTTCACTCTCAAGAGTTTTGAAATCTTTAAATGGCCTTGAAAACTCTGCATGTAGTGCTTCTAACATGGTTGAGTACTTTTGGAGGTGATCACCTGGTCTTTTGGCTTCCTATTGTGTTGGCAAGTGGGTCAGATTGTTGTCCTTCACTTGACTTGAGAGAAGCTGCAATTTTCTCATGAAAGCCTTCACTGCACTGTACATCTCATGCACAAAAAGGCCCTTGCACTGCAGTTTGACATTTATTTCGTTCATTAGTGCAGTCACATCCACAGCGAATCCGAGGTCTGCCACCCAGTCTTTATCTGAAAGTTCTGGGACGTCATGACCTTTATTAAACACAAATCTCCACTCAAGGTCCGAGAGCTCAAAGAAGCGTTAAAGTACCTTGCCTTTTGACAGCCACCTCACAGTGCAGTGCAGCGGTAGGTCACCTGGAAGCCCTTGGTCCAGCTCAGCTATGAGATTCTTGAATTGTCTGTGGTTAAGCGCATGTGTGCGGATGTAGTTGACGATTTCCATCACAGGCTTCATGACGTCAATGATTTAGACACGAGTTGCTCCCTGTGGATGATGCAGTGGAAATTCCATAACTCAGGACATGTTTGGTCAGCTTTGCACAGCCCCACAAGCCCGTTCACAGATCCGATCATGGCTGGCGCTCCATCCGTGGCTATTGCAGTTCGTTTGGGTATGGGCAGATTTGCTTTCACAAATGCAGCCATCATTGTTTCTTTCACATCTATGCCACAGGTTCTGTCTTTTAATGGCACAATATCAAGGAGTTCTTCTTTGATCACACAATCATTTGACACAGACCATGCAAATATTACCAACTGAGGCTTTTCTTGTATGTCACAACTCTCATCCAATGCGACACTAAAATACTCACATGATTGAAGGTCAGAGTGCAACTGTGATTTAATAGCCATGTTAATGTTCAATATTCTGTGTTCAACAGTGTGGTGGGTGTTAGCGTTTGCTAACATTTTTTGGACTGCCCCTACTTTTCAAAGTGACCAACTTGTGCTTGTGGAGTTCAGTCCCTTTTGGAAATTCCTGGTCAATGTTAGCATGGAATGAGCTGAAGTGGCGCTGAAGATTTGCTGCTTTGAAATGCGCTAATGACGCCCAATATACAAGACAGAATGGCTTGCGGTTACGTTCAACAATAAAATATAAACTCTCCCACTCTGTTAAAAATGTCCTGTGTTTATCTTCATATTTTCATTTTGAGAGCGAACTTGACACAAATTGTTTACTCAAATGATCTTGCCCTTACTGGGAAACTTGGCGCTATTTTCATCTCACGCACATGCACATTTGACGAAAATACCGTATTGAACTCAAGTGAAGCGAACACGCACATTAAAAAAAAACACAAACACAAACTTCAATATGAACGTAAGAAGCATGAAACCAGGCAAAGAGATGCGTGTGGCTTGGGAACCAGGGGTTGTTTACTTCTGGTCTGCAAGGTATCCTTTCAGCCACAGTCTCAGAGGCTTCTCCTCTACGTTACATAATCGTCATTGCAGTCACCCATGTTTTTGAAATGTTGGCAGGTACTGCTTCTCTTTGTCGTCTCACCTGCTCCTGATTCTTTCTGTGTGTGTTCTACTCTTGGTTTAAATATTGATATTTAGCGCCATTATGAAAGTGAAAGTGAATTATTTGTCATTGTGACACAGCACACCACTGCACACACAATGAAATGTGACACTAAAGTGAACAGCCCCGGCAGCAGTGCGTGGGGACAGTGCCATGCCACCTCAGTGGTAACTTGGCAGCTGGTGGATTAGAACCAGGAGCCTTCCGGACCCAAGTCCGCTTCCTTAACCACTAAGCCACCACTGGAATTTCCATAACATATTGCAAGAAAAAAAATCTTGATATATGATAGTTCCGGTCCAAAACCGGCCGCGACAAGGGAAAATCCAAGAAGTAGAGATGAGATAGTTATTATACTATTTACGTATATATTTACACTTTACGAACCTCCCCTACACTGCTATCAACCCTCTCTAGACTGTATTACCCTTTCCCACACAATTATATGCACTGTAGAATTGTATAATGGAAAGACATGCATATTACGTAAATAACTTAAATACACATTCTGGGGTGCGGCAGAGGCTAGTGTAATGTGAGTAATCAAGCCTCTCCTCATATTAGTAGGAGCAGGGACCATGGAGAGAGAAGACTGAACAGAGGAGTGCATACTGGCCAAAACGGATGGACTGTATATGAAAGCCGGGCACAGCGCAGGAGCGCACATTATTAAGAAGAAAAAGAAAGGCTTGTTAACTGTCATCTGTGTCAGTGTTTTCGTTTGGGCTTAGTAACAGAAGCCTGAGAAGACGCAGAGCGTTTATGAGGCATCGTAGATCGTTAAATTAGGGTAAGCTTTCACCAAACACAGGAGCACAAACTTTACAGCAATGCACTACTGGCACAAAGCAAAGTGAACGAGGGTGAGAGATGCTACGACGTGTGAGCCAATCAGCGTGAGGAACAGAAGAGCATGCTCAATGCTGTGTTCTGCATTGCTGCTCTAGTTAAACAAAGCTACCAGCTATATTTTTACTGTTTACATTTTTTTAAGTAAGAAAATGTTTTTTATCACAAAGATAACGAAAATACTGAAAATAAAAAAAAAACACATTTACCATAAAATACAGCAATATAGCGAAACTCTCGTGAGGTTGGAATTTTAAAAAAAATCCACTGAGGGAGTGAAAGGAGAATGGAGACCATATAGAGAGGGACCGATGTATTGATATTTTAGCACAGCCTTACCTCCTTGCCATAATAACCAGCATGAGTTATGAGTCTGGCATTGAGTAATATTGATAACTTAATATCTTAAGTACTAACTGTGTTAGTACTTTGACATAATCTCAATTTGACAGTTGATCTGACAAACTCAGATAAATTGCTATGTGTTCACAAGAGCACTAGTAGATACTTAGATTGATACTTGATTGTTTAAGTGTTAAATGAGTGCTGTTGCGACACTAATTGCTTAGCATATATCTTTGCTCTCATTGGCAGGAGGAGGAATTCAACTGGCTGCTTAAAAAAGAAGTGCATGCTGTCCTGAAGCAGATGGAGGGTGTCCTCAAGGTAGGCCTTCTTTTCTATATTGGATCTGGATGTTATTTTAAATCAATAAAAATGCAACTTTCAAACAAACATGGCTTTGTGATTGATTGCAAAACTACAACAGCAGATACATTGTAAGCTGCTCTTTTTATAATGGCAACGTTTTTTATTTCATAATAGTGTTTTGTATAATCACATCTCCATTTTGGTTTTGTTGTGATCTTTTAAAAGTTTGCCTGGTTACTTTTTTTGCCCATACACTTAAAAATGAATATTTGCCACCCCGTGCTATAACCTTGCAAATAGTTTGTAGTTGTTTTTTTTAGTTGGCTTTCACCTGCAACATGTGCCTCTGATTAGATTAACAACAAACACACATAACATAAATTTAATTTTAAGGTGTATTAGTGATGATGTATTTTGAGAGTTAAAAATTGTGCAAAAAGCGACATGCATTAAATCAGTGCCTTGTTACATTTTTTTTCTCTGTCGCTTCCTTTTTCCACATTTTCAAACACTCCGGTTTTTTTATTTCTTTAATGTCAGTAGTTAATTTTCTTTTCATTAAATGATAGCTAATTTAGCTTATATAATTGTCTCATTTCTGAAGGAACCCCCAGTAAAAAATGCAGATTCTTTGCACCATATTGAGAAACATTCCAGACTCTCTTGACCATACTGCTTTACCATTGTTTCTTTGATGGGATGCCAATAAGCATCCTTTCTAGTTTTGCCTCCCATTAAGATTCAGTTCCTTTGTCTTCACTATGAATCTGTTTTACAGATCAATGAAAGATGAAAACCATTAAGCCAAAAGAGAACAAGATGTCTACTACTTTGTAAAACTGCAACATTTTCTCTTGATTTTGTAATGGTCAAGTAAGTCAGAATGTTGGATTAATGCTGTTATTTTTTATTATTATTTTTAAGTTGTACTCGATTTTATTTGAATTATAGGAAGTTTATTTTATGAAAATGCAAGACACAGAATTTCTGCTTCGCAGCCTTTAATTGTGAAAATATATAAAGGGGTTGGACAGTGAAACTGAAAGTGGCCAATTTAGTGTTGGGGGTTTCATGGCTAAATGTGACCAGGCTGGTGGCCAAACTTCATTGATTGCACATTGCACCAGTAAGAGCAGAGTAATAGCACAGTCCTGTTTAAAATATTGCAATGCACACAACTTTAAGGGTGACACATGTGAGTTCAAAGTTCAAGTTTGAGTTCAAAAGAGGACAAATTGTTGGTGTACGTCTTGCTGGCGCATCTGTGACCAAGACAACAAGTCTTTGTGATGTATCAAAAGCCATGGTATCCAGGGTAATGTCTGCATACCACCAAAAAGGACGAACCACATCCAACAGGAGTAACTGGACGCAAGAGGAAGCTGTCTAAAAGGGATGTCCGGGTGCTAACCCGGATTGTATCCATAAAACCACAGCTGCCCAACAAACTGCAGAATTAAATTGTGCACCTCAACTCTCCTGTTTCCACCAAAACTGTCCGACGGGAGCTCCCAGGGTCAATACACATGGCCAAACCTTTGGTGACCAATGGACCAAATGAAACAGTTTCATTGTCTAACCCCTGTATATGTGTGCATGTATATATGTAGATGAGTCGATGTATACTGTATATACTCACAGATATATATATATATATATATAGATAGATACTGTACTTGTCGTTGTGCTGTGTCACAATGACCAGTAGTATTGACAACTACTTTCCGTTCCGGGGTGCACCGCTCAGAGTTTGGTGGGTAGTTAGTGCATTAATACAAAGTTTGTTGGTTCGGTGGAAGGTTTAACAGTCGCCATTCTCCGTGCACAGTTGACGTTATCCGTTTCACTAATAGATAAAGAGGTCAGAGCTGACTGCACCTTCGACGAGATGCATCAGAATTGCCTAGTGTAAAGTCGATGCAGCGCCATCCATTTGAACATTTTAATTCAATTTAGAATGAAGCCGTTACAAAATAGGGATAAAAAATATTATATAATCAATTTTTGGATCTTTAGGAATCGATTTTGAATCAGCAAAGCTTAAATCCCGATTCAAATGTGAATCGATTTCTTTTGCACACCCCATATATATATATATATATATATATATATATAGTTCAGAAAATAAATATTTGTATATATATACAAAAAATGTAAATATAAATCCTGAATATATATACAGAAAGTCTGAATATATATACAGAAAGTGCGAATATATATACAAAAATCCTGAATATATATACAGAAAGTCTGAATATATATACAGAAAGTGCGAATATATATACAAAAATCCTGAATATATAAACAAAAATATGAAGCGTATTTGACCACACTGTCCGTATCGGTGCGCAGATATGCCTTTTTTTTTTCATGTCCCTTTAGGGGCTCCGTAACAACACATTAACACATTTCATGCTTTGTTTCAATATTTCTTTGATACCTACAACTTTTTAACTTGAAATTAGAGATCTCAAGAATGTCTCACAAAATGTACAATGAACAGGACCCATGGTCTTTTATGGAAAGAAAAACTTTAAGATGGCATACCACCTGGACATCAGGTGACAAAGAATCTTTTCAGGCAGCCTGTGTGACTTATTTTCCTACTGTGGCTTCGGTTGTGTTGCTGCCTTATAGCTTGACAAGCCTTAGGGGAGTAGTCAGTTTAATTGAAAGTGTCACAAAGCAATGAATCTCACCCCAAATTTGAAGCCTTAGCCATGTTGCAAGTTTGTTGCTAGTTTCACATGTAGCACATTGGTGTGAATGAATGTGGGAGGCACACCTTATTGAATCTGTGCTTGACAATGGAACCTAAAGTGGAGTAGTCGAGCGCAGATCCTCTGATTTCAGGAAAGCACACAGTGTGCTTTCAGAGGTTGATAAAAATGAATATAAAATTGTGTATTGTTTGATTCAGATTGCGTACAGAACTGAGACCACTGTAACGAATGGTTCAATACAGATACATGTATTGTTATATATTATATATATAAATATATATAATTAACTAGTTATAATTCTGCTTTACTGTTGTCAACAGGAGGCATCCAGACGTTTCTCAATGCCATGTCCTGGCCTCGAGAGTCAACTCAAGCATGAAAATTTCATCCTTGGCAGTTCAACGTAATACTTGACGCCTCTTGTACATTTTATTCAAGCTAATGCCACTTCAGAAAACGTATTGCCATTAGGTGAAATCCATTTAGTTTTTTTATTCTAATGTCAATAAATGTCAATTTATTACAAATTCAAACCAGATCATATAATGATTCTTAATTTTGCCAGAGTGCCTCTAAATTTGTTTTTGATGAGGACCAACAGTGTCATAAGTCCACAAATATTATATATGTATTATTGCCAAAAATGTTGGCAAGTAAATATGTACATGACACATTTCCAAAAAAGATTAGGAGACTAAGTTAAAAGGGCACCAAAGAAGAGTATAATAATTAGTGACAGCTAAGTCAGTTGTCAATGTTTCATAGTGATAACAATCACCAGACATTACAAATTATATGTGGTTTTACAACACATATTACGTTCTGTGCAAACTCATAGATGCATGCTAACAAACTGTGTTATTAGATTGTTCAAGATAATGTGCTGGTAAACTGGACAATCAATACAAAACAGGAGCAGGATATATTACTTAACTCTCCCATTGTCCTTTGCATTTTGTACACAACTAGCGCCTCACACCGGATTTGCATGTTGTCCCAGAATCAGACTATGAGGAAAAGTTGGCACAAGCGGTGCAGTGCAGGGGGCACACACACAAAAGGCATATTATCAGCCACCGGGTCACCTAGACCCAAAGAACAACGGGAGGGTTAAAAAGAAAGGGGTGCGGTGCTTTTTCTCTTTGTAGGAATGTAAAATTTAAATGGCATCACAAGAGTGCTTTAAGCTGCATTATAGTACATATGTTTGATGAGGGACTTATTTTGTAGCATAAACTGCTTGAAGTTGCAATGTAATGGCAAGGGGCAGTGAAGTCAGTCAAGACAGTCAAGTGAAACCACAACACGATGCCCAACAAAACATTTTGGTAAGTATTGGAATAGAGAATATGTCTGTGTTCCAAACGTGTGATATGACCAGCGCTAAAGATTGCCTGCTTCAGGTCTGTCAGCATAGGTACATTATTTATATATATATATATATATATATAACTCTTCATTAGCAATTAAATATTATTAAGAGTGTCACTTTCATCTATTATCACTTTTTTATTGTCTTTACACAAGGGGCTGAGGGCTGGGAAAACTCAAAATTGGATTTTTGCACTGCTGTCCGTACTCTTCCAGTTGCTCCAGTGTGGCATCCAGGTTTTCCAGATCCCCTTCCTCTGTCTCTACCATGAAAATATGTAATCAAGTTTGCACTGGACTCCAGATAATTTACACAGAATCTGGTCCATCGCAAGAATACTGGAGTCGATGTTATTCAAAATGGCAGTCTGCAGTGTTTGTAGAGGCCATTGTGGACTAATGTGAGCAGCTCTTTAGACTTCTCATCACCATGCATCTAGAGGTAGGCTTGTTTCACACAAATTGTCAATATGTTAGGCCAAAACAGTCAGTAATTAACTGGATTATTGATATATTGAAGGAAAATCCTCTTGAAGCACTTCTTACCAGTGTTGAAAGACACCGTAAGAAGTGCTGTTTTCCCACGCTAGAACACACACACATTTAATTCTCCCCCAAAACTGCCATCCTAACAGCTATTTAGTGTATAACCACAAAAGAATTATACAAGCTCTCTGTGTGGCAGATAGTGGACCCACTGGAAAACAGGGCCATGTCCCTTAATGGGCCCAGGCACCAGCATGGTACTCTTGTCTCAAGGGGTCTTCTGGAACTACACGTTGCCTTGCTTTTTCCTTGGAGGACTTTTGATTATGTAAATGTAGAGACTCAAGGAGCGACAATGAATACTATATTTATTGATTTTGCTGTTATTACTATTGCCATCACTACGTTTTCTCTTTGTTACTATAGCATAGTTGTTGCATTGTGCATTCAAAATACCAAAATAATTCTCTCTACACAGTATGTACTATTTTTGTATTCCATTGCAGTTCCATGTATGTATATACTCTATACTGTAACTGTCCTATGTAACTCCTATGGAGTCCTGTTCTAAGATTCTCTGTATTCAGTTTAATGGTTCCCTAGTTTGGCTTGAAGATAACTCTTTGCTTCCGGTGCTCATACACACATACACAGGTGCTGATGGGAATTTCATTGATTCCGCCCTAGTCATCCACGCAGGAATTCTACCTGGGCCACTGGCCTCAGACTGTGGTTGCTCTAAATTGCAGCAAACTTTCTTCCATCTAACATCGCAACAAAGAGTTAACTCTTATGTTCTCTAGAAACCATAGTGAGAGAATTCAATTTCTGGTAATGTCGTCTCCCCAGGCCTTTCTTATTTTAGGTCATTTGTGGTTGCAGATTCACAACCCCCAAGTTGACTGGGTCAGGAGCTCATTTGTTGAAAGATACATTTTGGGGATGCACAGGGACACATCTTAAGTGATGTGCATGAGATCCTTGGGCTTTTTGGTTCTTACAACATCAGACAACATCAGCATCTTTGGTGACCCAGCCAGGGTTGATCAGACCCTGGCTTGTGTCCCAGCAGCACTGGCCCACAGATCACCCCTCCTAGTCTTGAGCCACCTGGACTTTCTCTGCAGTCTTTATGGTTGCTCTACTTTTTGCAGCTAAGCAGAGTGTAAACTAGTTTGCTAGGACTAGTTTGCGTTTGTCCCTGTCATGTACCCTCTCATACTGAGGCACTTAATCCTGCACGCACCGTTACCACTGTGCCTATCCACGCCTTGTACTTCAGCCGGGGTTCTGCTACCTCCAGGCCCCCTTTGGCTCTCTCACTTCCTGCCTATTTGCACCATAATGCCTGCTGTTGCCACCTTTGAGTCCTTGTATCCAGACCCCATCTGCTTGCCTCCATTATCTGCTACAGTTCCTCTACGCCAAATCACACACAAGATCTTCCAGGAGATTCTGAGGAGCTTTGGGCAGCACTTATACACTTTATATGGTACTCCGCTTGGTCCTGTAGCTGATTTGGCTCTGGCCACAGCAACTACCTCCTGGGCATCCGGGTGGGCTCAAAGATGTTGAAAGGGGCAGTGGGGGATGGTGTGTCGAACAGGGCTCTGAGAGGCCCTAGCTCTTGCTCTCTGTCAATGTAGCTCAGGTTGTTGTGCAGGAAATGGTCTACTTCTACCTTAGAGCAAACTAGTGGGTCGCTGCATTTCTGCCCCAATAGCTGCTGGATTGGATCAGCTATGAATGCAGTTTGCTTCCTTGGCTCTCTCTGCTATGCCATTAAGCTCTGTGCAGCGTCAGCAGTATTTTCCTGATGATGTTCCGGAACTCAGCCAGTTGTGGTCTCTCGTCTGCAGTGGATTCTCTCAGTCTTCGGTTAATGGTGTAGTTTGGACTTGCCCTCTTCCACGCCAAACCTCTTTGCTCCAAAAGTGACAATCGAATCAACAGTGAAGGAGGCTTCACTGTTGATTCGATGACTCTGGCTGCGGCCTCATCAGATTGTTGCCACACCAGTGCTGGCTGGTGGAATGCCACTTGATACAAGGAACCTGCCATGTTTTCAGTACTAAGCTGCAGTGCTAATTGCCATGCCCTTTGCCTCCAGTCTGCTCTCTCTCCCACCACGGTTCCTGTATTGGCTTATGAGGAGTGGCAGAATTGGCTGGAGGGAACAAAGCATTCTTTTTTCATCTGGACAGATCGCAAGAACCTTGCCTATGTGTGAATAAATGACATGTAAAAGTCATGCATAAAGGCTAAAATGTTTTCATCATTTTCTACACCATCTATTACCATCTATTTTACCATCTACTATTGGTAAAATGTGGATATTGCAGGGAAAAGGCAGATAATGAAGTATAATGATAATATAAATATCCAGGCAGGATTAAAAAGCTGAAGAGACTGCATCTGGCCCCTGGGCCTAAGTTTGCCCATGCCTGGGCTAGATGGCGCTCTTTCTCGATAGATTCAGACTCTCCTTAACCTATTGCCCTGGTTCCCAGAATACCAAGCCAGACGTGCTCTCGCGGAGCAAGATGAGGAGGACAAGGTAACAGAATGTGCAACTAACATTCTACATTCAACATTGGCCCTCTATCTCCGAGGTCACCAGGGCATTTGTATCCTGTACGACCTGTGCCCACAGTAAATCAACACATTGCCCTGGACTTTGTCAAAGACTTGCCCCTGTTCTTCAATAATACCTGTATTCTCACTATGGTTGACCATTTCTCTAAGGCTTTCCACTTTCACAGGCTGTTTGTCTCCCTAAGCTCCTTTCAGGCCACAGAGACTGTGGACCTCCTGGTACTACATGTGGTTAGTCTCCTTGGGATTCCACGAGACGTTGTCTCAGACAGTGGTCCACAGTTCTCCTTTCAGGTGTGGAGGGCTTTTTGTCTGTTGTTCAGCACCTCCGCCAGCCTTTCATCTGGGTATTATCCCTAATCAATCGTTAAGCAGAGAGGACATTGCCGATTCAGTGCCAGTTCATTTTCCACCCATCCCGTGGTAACTTTGGCATGATCATCACAATTTCATGAGGCTTTGTTTTGGTGACTGTGATCTCTGGATGAAAAGTCTAAAGAGCTGCAGATGTCAGTTCACAAAGGGCTCTAAAGACACTGCAGACTGACTTATGAAATAGCATTGGCATTAAAATTTTTGTTCATGAACCGAATTGTTCAAAAAGGGAGGTGTTCAACGACCGAGGTTCCACTGTATATTGTTACAACAGAATGTCACATTAGGTGTAAATCTGTTTCTGTTTTAGTAAGATTGTCTATTTTTGATTTGCTCTATGAAAAACATTGACTTAAAAAGAGGAAATAAATTAAGCAAGCTTCAAACATAGTGTGTTTTCTGGTGCTATGATAAATTGAATAAGAAAATTTAAAATGGAGAATAGTCATGGACTCTATATAAAGAAAATCATAAAATGTTTTTTATTAGGCAAAAAAATATTTTCAAGATAAATGAATGAATACTAAAACTACCAGAGATTATGTTGCTGCATGAACGGAAATAATGGTGATTTTATCCCCAAAAGAACGAGATTTCAGCTGTAAAAGTTATTATTTAGTTATATGTATTTTTCTTTTTTAAATGAACAGATCACTGCACTGACTGGAACTGTACGAAGTGTCTGCTGTAACTCAGGGAACTGTTAAATCCAGCAGGACCACCTGCCTTGTTGTCCTTGACAGCAGCACAATGCCAGGCCTTAGCATGGTCGCTGTGGTCTTTTTCTGGGAATTTAAGCTATTACCCAAGGTCTACCTTAAACTGTCAGTCCTGTTGCCAAAAGGCCTCCTGGTATGGTTGGTTTATGTGGTGGTTTGGCTTCGCTCAGTCTTGAAAAATGCAATGGATATATTTGATTGTTTTTGCTGCCTGCTGTCAATAATACCTTAGTTGATGACTTCTGCTAATGCCTTTAGCATCTAGTCATGGCACCAGCGGCTTTTGGGCAGCAGCTTAGGATGTACTCCATGGGGTGAGCTGGCCAGGACATCATACACAGACTGGATAAAGAGCCTTATACGTTATGGCTCTGCCTTCCATAGATTTGCCCAAGAGATCTTCGAATCTATTGTCTGGACATTATTAAAGCAGGATTTTGGGAAGATGCCTCTGCTTTGCATTGTGAAATACTCAAGACTCCCCCTAGTTGATCGCTTTCTCTGTCCTCCATTTCCTGCCAGTACACACCTCAGTGCCCACTGAGGAGACCTTGGTGTCACCATAGTCTCTATACAGCAGCCCTTCTACTGCTCAGGTGACCATGAACTCTGTCAGACTACAGAAGAGGAGCTGCAGTTTGTTCTTAATCTTGTATAAGGCAATATTGCTTATACTTTAAGATAGGCCCAACCACCTGTACAGTTAATAGCCGGTCTTCCTCTCTAGGCCCTCAACAGTGGTCAGTGGCACATATAATACACCAACAAAGGCCAGATGAGTTGTTGCAAGATGCCATGGCAAATCCAAGCTGTTTTACATGCCTGGCAGCCCTGACATTCCCACTGAAGTGAGCCAGGTTCTCAGTTCACAGTTGGTTGAATTGAGTGCTACAGTGTCCCTCAGAGTGCAGTCAAAGATCTTGACAAAGGTCCTATTATTTATTTATTTATTTATGGTCTGTATTGTCATTGTACCACGGGGATACAAAGAAACTGAGCCTCTGCTTTTAACCCATCACAAGGTGAGCAGTGGGCAGCTTTAAGCGTCCGGGTATTAGGCTTTTCCCTGACAGATGGTATCTGGACTGCTCTTGTGGAGAACTAGTACTTGTCTTTGATCTTCCCCTTCTTCAGAAGTAGACCATTCGCTATTAGCTCAACTGATGCCATGTTCAAGGCCTTGAAGAATCCATCTGTAACCGATGTTGTGGTCACTATCAGAAAGGGCGGTGTCACACCCCCCTGTCTGATTCAGTCAGTAGGCCTCTGCACACTTCAAGGCAAGCAAAATCACAGAGACAGTGCATCCAGTAATTATGCCTCTTTTTCCATACAGGTGTATGTAATGCAACGGGCAACAACGTTAAAAAATACCTTGCCCTTGCCCACTTAGTAGCAAGATGATTCTGAACTGCTTGATTTTAACTATAACTGTAATCCCTGGCGCACCTCTGAAGCTTCAGGCATCATTAGTAAAGGCCATTTAGCATGGGCAAATGCAAGGTGTAGGTCAGGGGTGTCAAACTCAAAATCACAGTGGGCTGAAATTAAAAACTGGGACAAAGTCGCGGGCCAAACTTAATATTTACTGTTTTCCCCAGATATGGAATGTAGAATTTGTTTTTTTTCATATGGAAACTTTATCTGTAGGTTTTCGAGTCCTTTTTAATGTAAATCATTTCGTTACAGGCCAACAACAACAAAAACAAACAAACAAAAGAATGTACAATAACATAGCGTATACACCGCTAATACTACAAATCCTGCCAGGATATAGGGGCTATATACTGGTGGGCCAACTCTAGTACACATTTGATACGATCTCATGGGCCAACTATAATTACACTGTGTGCCAGATTTGGCCCCCGGGCCTGAGTTTGACACGTATGGTGTACAGTGCTTGTTTGCATAATTATTCACCCCCTTCAAGTCAGTATTTAGTAGATGCACCTTTGGCTGCAATCACAGCACTGAGTCTGTGTGGATGAGTCTCAATCAATCTTGTACATATGCACACTGCACCGCATCTCCAGTGGGGATGCAGGTGAAAGATGACGTGACCTTTTAAGATACCATAGTTTCTTCAGCCTCCAGTTTGAGGAGAGAGGATGGTAACAAGGTATTTAGCCACGTCGTATGTAACTGAGTTTATGCTGCTTACAATGTGTCTTAGGTGGCCCCCTTCTTTGTGTATTTTTGGCAGCCCGTAGATGCAGGAAACAGCATCCCCTGGGTAAAGTTTAAAAGACAGAGCTGGTCAATAACCCTTCCCCAGCGTCTGTAGGCATTTGACCACTTTTATTTTGTATCTATTAGTGGGGTCTCGTCTGAAGAACTCTTAAGTTGTTGTGTCACTGAGGAAGCTGCTTTGGGGTTATTGCAAAGTTTAGTCCTTTGGCAAGGAATTTCGACTCAGCTAGAGTGAGCTCTCGGTCTGAAAGATTTTTGATTGTAGGACATCGATCGTGAAATGAAACTGCCTCACTTTCTCATTGAGGAGTTGGCTTTGTGCCCTGTTGAGGATGCTTTCCGCTTTGCCTTTCATATTGGAAGAGAGCCATAAGCTCTTAGGAAAGATCCTAGTCTGTCTGCTATTCTGTTGTATTCTATTACCACTATTAAATTAGTGGATTTTGACGAAGAGTCTGCAGCTTCGATAATTGTTACATATGTTGAAGTAATCCTTGTTCAATAAGATTCAAACAGTTAATCTTTATCCATGTTATTACTTTCAGAGCTTTTTATTGTATTGTCATAAAGAAGAACCCTGGCTAACATGTACATATACACACAATGTTTTCTTCCACAAGGTAGGGTCTACAAAATATACTGTTTCTCATGTTTGTTTGTGCATTTCTAATCACAAGTTCAAATGTAATGTGTTTCAGCATGGACCAAGTAAAGGGGGTGCTGACACTGCAGGGAGATGCTCTGACACAGGCTGTGAGTATGACCTAGATTTAAAGTCTTTATTTACTAGACAGGTATTTCATACATAATGAGTAGGGGTGTAATGGTCCACACAAGTCATAGTTCGGTACGTACCCCAGTATGGGGGTCATGGTTTGGTACATTTTCGGTATGGGTTCAGAACAATGGGATAAAAGCAACAAAAACTTACACATGTATAAGACTACCTTTTTTTTTTTTTTACCTTTTTTTTTTATATTTTATACAGACATTAACTGACCCCAAAACTAAAAACCTGTTATAAAAGTAAAAAAAAAAAATAGAATAAAACTAAAAAATGCATTAGGAGGGTTCTTGTACCATTCATTCATTTTGTTCATACACAGGAAAAGAAAAAAACGTTGTTTTTCATACAGTATATATTAACTATAGCTCCTCAACACATTATAACCCTTGCTTCTCAGAAGTCAGGTATTTTATAGTAAGGGGGGTCCTCGCCTTATGTCGGGGTTCAGTTCAGCAACTTGAATTCTGATTCTTCATCAAAGAGGACACTTTTTTTTTTTGTTAATAGGCCACTCACTCAAACTTATTCGCCGTGTGACTACGTGCACCAAACCATGATACCCGTACCAAGACACCACGGGATGAATATGAGGGATATTATGTCTAATAACCATGGTTTGCATTTTTACCAGGACATAAACCTCAAGCTTGCAAAAAGCAGCCAAGTGCTACACTTTCAGTTTAGAGACGACAAGCAGTGGAAACTGCAGCAGGTTAGTATATATACATAATAAAGCATATAACACACTAAAACATTTTTTTCTTGTCTTTTTGTTTTTAAAATAATTTAGTCTGTGGAATTTTCAATGTCAAAGTTCCATTATTTGGTCAAAGCAGTGCATAGAAAAGATCAAGCAACACTGATCAAAATTTTGAAGGCATTGGTGTATGACTTATCCACAGCTCACCTGTACTATAGTAATGTCTGAAAACAAACTGTCTTACTAAATATCTGTCTCAACTCCAGATTCAAGATGCCTGGAATCATGTTAGCCAAGCTATTCAAATGCTTAACAGTCGTGATGAGACCTACAACTTCAAAACAGGGGCTGAGGTTATCAAGGTTGGTCTCACATCAGAGCATAATGATATCATTCATTCCATTCAGTGTCATTTACACTAATTTGCTGCATTTAATGGTACTGCAGTTGGTGGATGCAGTGATGCTCCAGCTGACACGTGCAAGAGGTCGCCTTACCACTCCAGCTTCCATGACACTCACCGAGCTGGGAACAAGTGGTCTGATGGTATTACGCACTCATTACACACACTGGGGACTATCTCTATGTCCTCGTGCTCTACACCCACTGGCAACTCTATTTCTAACATTGTTTTTCATATATATTAACTATAGCTCCTCAACACATTATAACCCTTGCTTCTCAGAAGTCCGGTATTTTATAGTAAGGGGGGTCCTCGCCTCACGTCGGGGTTCAGTTCAGCAACTTGAATTCTGATTCTTCATCAACCATTTCACATGAATAATTTTGCATTACAGAGCAGTCTGTAACAAAACAGATTGGCTCTATATATTAAAGAAAACTTTGCATATCATTTTAATCAGTGCTCAAATTATTGAATGCTCTCAGTTTATCATTAGAAAAGAATTCATTATTCATCCCATATGCGGAAAATTCTTGTGTTAACAGCAGATCTGCTGCAACAGGCTGCCCCCTGCAAGTGCCAAACATGTTGTAGCTCTGGGAATCGAACCCAGGATTCTCTCTGCTCTTTGGTTCTAAGGCAGACGTGCTAATTGCTACATTATGGAACTAACTAATAGAGACAATGCAGATTTTTTTTATGCTGCCATAAGAAGACATTCCCAGGTTTCAGAAACAGAGATAGATTCATGTACTATTTTAACACTATTGTGTTTTTGTCTTTCTGTTTTTTTTCTGCAGCAAATGTTCACTCCTCCCATGCCAGGAGACATAATGGTGAACTTTTATATCAATTTAAGTAAACTGTGTCTGACTGTCTACCAGCTTCATGTGTTGCCTCCCAACACTAACAAGGTTTGTCTGTGAGCAACAGATCATGCTAAACAGTTTATCCATTTTAATGTTTATGTAATGCTTTATCTCTATTTAACAGAATTTTAAACCGGCTGGAAGTTCAGTGTTGCACAACCCTGGTGTAATGTTGTAAGTTAATGTTTTGCTTTCTTTCGTACAAATACATACTTTGTTATCTATATGCAAATATGGTAACCTCAATTTCAATAAGGTTGGGACATTATGTAAAACTTATGTGAAACATTTTTTCACACGCTTTGAAGCCTGTGTGTTATACCAGTAGTGTATGTCTGTCTGTGAATGGCTATGTGTGTATATGTGCATGGGGTGCGCTTGAGAGAGAGAACGGTAGCGAAAGTTGAGAGCAGTTTGAGACCTCATGTTGAAACGTGAATTGCTTATACAGAAGCTGTTAAAACGCAACCGAATCCTGCAGAGACTCTGCAGGAACACCTACCTATCTCACAGGCACTCTCCTTGGAGCCATGACATGCAAAACACTGTCAGGGGCCAGATTTCTTGTCATCCATATGACATGTAGGTTTACATGTTCTAGGTGCCAACCGTACCCAGCAGGTGATGGAGCACCTATATTTTGTTTGATACAGGACCTCATGACTGCAGCCTGATAATTTGCCGTTTTGCAGTGCTAATGGAGGGCATCACTTGTAGTTGGATTAGACAATTCTGGAAAGACCGATGATGCCATAAAGAAAGCCTTGTACCTAGCCTCATTGACATTTTCAGCAGCTGGCTGATCATACAGGTGGCAATGGCATACATACTGTATTTGCAAAGTAGTGCAAATAGTGGTGAGTCGTCCAAGTGAAATTTTACACCCAGATTTTTAAAAGGTTAAGTGCACCTTAAGGTACTCTTCTTGCTCATATGCCACAGAAAATGTCTTTCTTTTGCCTTTACCATAAAACATGTATGTATGTATGCCATACAAGGCTAAACACAACTGGTTCCAAGAGCTGATGACACCTTGGTAATGTCAATGATGCGTGTCCGGTTACACCCTTGTGTCACATTATTAATGATCATACTGCAAGTCTTCAACAGCATGAACAGGGCTGTGGGGGGGATCAGTGAGAGCCTTTTTGTCTGTTGACAAGGCTAATAGCAAATGGGAAGAAGCTGTTTTTTGTGGCGAGAGGTTTTGGTCCAGAGGGACCCCAATTTCCTGCCAGAGGGGAGCTCCTCAGCTTTTGACCGGGGTGAGAGCGGTTGGTTGCAATCTTTTTAGCTCGCTTTAGGGTGTACAGGTCCTGTAGCGACGGTAGGTTGCAGCCAATTACCTTCTCGGCAGAGCGGACAATACGCTGCAGTCTGCGCAGATCCTTTGCAGTGACAGCAGCGTACCAGACGGAGATGGAGGAGGTGAGGATAGACTCGATGATGGGGGTGTAGAAGTTCCCCATCGTTGACTTTGCCCGATTGAACTGTTTCAGCTGCCTCAGGAAGTACATCCTCTGTTGGGCTCTTTTGATCAGGGAGCTGATGTTTAGCACCCATTTAAGGTCCTGGGTGATGATGGTTCCCAGGAAGCGGAAGTGTTCCACAGTATCCACAGGAGAATCACCCAAGGTAATGGGCCAGATGGGCTGGGCAGGTCCTGAAGTCCACTGTCATCTCCACTGTTTTTAGGGCATTGAGCTGTAAGTTGTTAAGTCTACACCAGGTCACCAGGCGGTCAATCTCCCATCTGTACGCTGACTCATCTCCATCAGAGATGAGTCCGATGAGGGTGGTGTCATCTGCAAACTTCAGGAGCTTGCGGAGAGCCAGTGCTGATGGTCCTGGAGTCTGAGGTGTGCTTCCCCATCCTCACGTGCCGACTCCTGTCAGTCAGGAAGTCAGTGTTCCACCTACAGGTGGAGTCAGGTACACTGAGCTGGAGCAGTTTACTCTGTAGGATAGCTGGGAGGATGGTGTTGAAGGCTGAGTTAAAATCCACAAACAGGATCCTGGCGTAGCTCCCTGTGGGGTCTAGATGCTGCAGGATGAAGTGGAGGGCTAAGTTGACCGCATCGTCTACAAACCTGTTGGCTCTGTAGGCAAACTGCAGGGGGTCCAGGAGTGGATCAGTGATGGCTTTCAGGTGTGTCAGGACAAGGCGTTCAAATGACTTCATGACCACAGAGGTTAGGAGGGTTTTTGCTTTTTAGGGACAGGGATGATGGTGGAGTATTTGAAGCAAGATGGCACTTAGCATATCTCCAGTGAGGTGTTGAAAATGTCCGGCTGCTTTGCTGGGGTTTTGTTTTTTTTAAAGCCTATTCACGTCTTGCTCTTTGATAGCAAGAGTCGGTCCAGTGGTGGAGGTGAGGGGGGAAGCTAGGGGAGCTGAATAAGGTGTCGGAGTTCCTGCAGTGGGTGGGGTGGGCGTGGCTGTGCAGGGGAAAGTTGTCCCATTGTCTTTCAAATTGACAGTAGTGGTCGTTCAGCTCATTTGCAAGGCGCATGTTGTTAATGGGGGGGGGGGGGGGGGGTGTGTGTTTTACCTGTATTTTGACTCTTTGTAACTATTTTTGTCTCCACTCCTGAACGCCTCTTTCTTGAGCCTCCTAAGCCGTCTGAGTTTTGCTGTGAACCAGGGTTTGTTGTTGTTGTTGCTCACCCTAGTTTGTGATGGTATACAGCTGTCCTCACAGAAGCTGATGTAGGAGGTCACAGCCTTTGTGTACTCTTCCAGGCTGTTGGTAGACGTCCTGAACACATCCCAGTCAGTACAATCAAAGCACACCTGAAGTTCCTCAATGGCTCCACTGGACCAATGCTTTGATGTCCTCAGTACGGGCTTGCACCGTTTCAGTTTCTGCCTGTAGGAAGAAATCAGATGGACCATGGTGTGGTCCGAGTGACCCAGTACAGCCCGAGAAACAGCTTGATAGGCATTTTGAATTGTGGTGTAACAGTGATCCAGTGTGTTCCCCTCCCTAGTTGGGCACTAAACTGTGTGTACTCTGGAAGCTTGTGGCTGAGATGTCCTTTGTTAAAGTCCCCGAGGACAAGTACGGGCTTGCACCGTTTCAGTTTCTGCCTGTAGGAAGAAATCAGATGGACCATGGTGTGGTCCGAATGGCCCAGTGCCGGTCTGCAGCGGCATGTAAACACCGACCAGAATGAATGAAGCGAACTCACGGGGAGAATAGAAGGGTTTACACTTGATGATAAAAGTTTCCAATTCAAGGGAGCAGAACTGTAGGATCACTGTTACATCGCTACACCAGCCACAGTTTACATAAAAACAGATACCCCCACCTTTATGCTTGCCGGAGAGTTCCATGTTGCGGTCCGCTCTGAACAGTTGGAACCCAGCCAGCTCAAGCACAGGATCTGGTGTCGATCCACACAGCCATGTCTCCGTGAAGCACAGGACAGCGGAGAATGAAACATCTCTGTTGTTATGCACAAGTAGCTGAAGTTCGTCTACTTTGTTGGGCAGTGAGTGCAGGTGTATAAAATCCGCTGCAGCGCAGCCGTACGAGCACACCGGCTTGTTTCCCTCTCTTCCGACGCATCGCTGCTTTGACAATGACCAGGGCGCCTTTGAGTAAAATATCCAAAATGTCGGTTGAAGAGGATAGTAACTCAGGGAATAAATCCAGTGGAGTTGTTGCATGGATGTTTATAAGTTCATCCCTGTTGTAAAAAAAAAAAATTAGAAAAAAAACTAGAGCAAACACGGGGGTAAAAACACAAAAACAGTAAAAGGAGCGGTGCACAAAACACCGTGTCGACCATCCGCGGCACCATCGAGTTGGATTAACAGTGTGTACAGCTATGTCCCCATGGTGAAAGACACTTTAGTCAGTTTGGCCGAAACAGTCCTGGAGCTAGGAGAGGGCATCCTTAGGTCACGTGGTGATGGTCTTTGTCAGGGGAGTGGACAGGGGAGTGTTGATGGTGTCTACTAGCAGCATGAGAGCTACACACGTTTTAGCATGTGGTGGTATGTAAGCAGCCGTGATTAGCACGGTTGTTAGCTCTCGAGAAAGAATAAAGGTACGGCACCTAACTGTGACGGACTCTAGGTCCTGTGAACAATGTTCTCTTCCCGGAGTTCTCATTGCGGTCCCAGCGTTGTATGGTGCGGCTATCCAGCTGCACGGCAACATCAGTATTATGTATAAGCTGAGGTTTTTGCCCACTCCTGTAAGTTCTGCATTACGATGTAGTTGTCCTTTTTCTTGCATATTATGCACAGGGCTGGAAGGACGGGGCCAGAGCTCGCGATGGGCAGGCCTGACCTCGAACTTGGTTTCTTTGTCGGACTTGGAGTCGTCATGCTCGATGTTGATGGGATGGCCTCACTTCTTGAGCGGTCTTCCATATCTTCTCTCGCCTTTTCACTTTTGCAATTGCACTCTTGTCAATAAACCTCCGGTAGCATGTGAGATGGTAAGCAGCATTCTCAGGAATGCTTTCGAACTCCAAATCCAGGCAGTGTTTGTAGTTTTCAGCTATGTATCGGCACTTACCCCTCGACCCGAGCCACCGCTGTAGACTCTTCCTGTACGTATTCCACCGTGCAAGTGTGAAATCCTGAATTTTTTGGTGCTTCACAGAGGCTATGTGTATATAGCACTGTTCGTGTCTTGAAGATTTAGTTTTTTTTTACTCATTTTTTATGGGTTTTCCTCTTCGGTACTGCTAGATGAACTCTGCAGGCAGCGATCTTGCTTTTCTGTTTACCAAACGTTGCTACCCTATTGGTGTAGTCCAGTCACCATGCCACCTCTCGCACACCAAAATCTTATTGCGCCCTGAAGATGCTAGTTCTGTAAAAAAATGCTTTGTTATAAAGAATGTGCAGGATTTTTTGCGATGAACTTTTTGCTGTAAGCCTAACATAACTCATGTTATGTAACATAATGAACTAAAGATTGTGTAGCTTGCAGACGTCGGAGCGGAACCTTAATTCTTGCGGTAGGGGAGAAGTGCCTGAATACTATGTATAAAGTCCTTACTAAAGCCGAAACTTTGGATTACTAAACAGAGACATTCCCACCCAACTGAATCAAAAGCTTTTTCCTATATTGTCTATTATGTTTGTCTATTCTTGATGAACAATGGCATTATGGGTTCCATTCTTTTTGCTAGGATGGTGGCATGAAATATGT